CTCCAGCGACCACCAAATCATCTCCGACTTTCCTGGTGTGGTTTGTTGAGCTCCAGACGTATGTGGGCCCTCTGTTTAACCTGTCATTTGAACAGAGACGAAGCGCCTTCAAACACAATTCGGCTGGCGCTTGTGAACCTCTGGCAACATCTGTATGAAGACCTGTGCAGCAGAGAAGAAAGACAGCTCTGGTTTTCTCCGTGAGGTCTTCGTGATACAGGTACTGGAGCTGCACTGCTGTTAGTATAGGGGAGACGGACTGACAACCAAGATGATGGGCGGTTAAGAGTCAGACCAGCACATCAACAGGATAATATTATCGACCAATATTAACTTTTCACAGATATATTGATTTTGGCAAAAAGGCATAAAAGTGTTTTTGTGCTTATTTGTTCCTTAGTTTTCATAAGTTAAGTGTAATATACTGTTATTTGTGTTTCTATTTATATTACTGATAATATTATAGATCTGCAGCTAGCAATTATTTCCATTTTTGATTAATGTACAACTTGTTTGCTCTATAAAATGTGTTTGTGTATTCATTTTGCAATGATACAAAACAGAGAAAAGCAGCAAATCCTCGAATCTGAGAAGCAGGAATTACTGAATGTCTGACATTCTCGCCTACTTAAAATTGTTGTGAATTCATTGTACATCAACTACTCTAACTGTTCAGCCTGCGGTAATACTTAAAGCAGCATTAACTGATTTTTTGGCCACTTGGGGGCAGTGGAACAAGATGTAAACACAACACTGATATATCACCACCTTTTAAGTTGATGTGCAAAAAGTTGCCTATGTACACAGGCCAGTTACAGAGCAATGTAAGCATTAAGTTGTGTTACAGGCAACCTGACGAGTTTCAGTATGATATCCACTCTCCTTTTTTAGCTCTGTTTTGGTCTCTGCTAACTCCTGAGGGAAATATCTGGCTCTTTAGCTGCTAAATGCTCCGCTATGTTCACCAGCTAGTCACCAGCTGTGTGTGTCTGCTCTTTGTTGCTGAGCGGTCAGTGTACAGTGGGTTTTTCTCTGAGAACAGCTGCTGCTGCTACTGAAAACGTAAGCGATGAGAGCGGTGACAACGAATCAAACTAGTACATTTGCAGGTTGGAAAACAAAAACAATTAGCCGAAAGATGCCAAAAGCGCTCCATAGACCTGAGAAGAAATGCAACAGCATAACAACTATCTGTGGGTTTGTCACTATGACTGATCTCCTGCACATCTGACTCATTGTTGATATAAAAATATCAGAGTGTAGCTTTAATTTCCAGTTTCCAAGTTTACTGTTCAAGTTTTACTGTTATCCTTTCACTGTTTTCACTGATAAGCAAGTTTATTGATGAACTGTAAAATACAGTATATTTGGCCTTCGTCATTTTGACAAGTTTTTATGAACCGTGTTGGAGGGAACCTTGCACAAACGTCTATGCGAACACACTTCAAATACATATACCAGCTGATATAAAGTAATCCAGTTGCATCCAACAGGCTCCTTCAAACACCCTCCAAAACAGTCTGATTTATTTTCAGAGCAACTTGAGGTTTTGGTTTTTCGAGACACTGTTTTTCTTATGATGCATGCTAAGTACTTTTCATGAAGAAAACATGTCTCCATTTATGGAAATATAGACATGCAGGGTCAGTGTGCATGTGTTGTTGCATGTCCACTGCTGTTTTCCTGCAGACAGCAGGGTGACGCTGGTCTTCCACAGTGCCCAGCCTCAGGACAGTCTGACTGGGCAGGGCTGTGGGGAAGTTCCCCTTTGTGGGCTTTATATGAAAAGAGGATGTTTGTCTCTGTACATATGTGCGTGTGTAATTGTGTGGTAAGTGTATGACACTGCTCGATTTTTACGGCCTGTGGTCTGACCTAGAGCATCGGCTAGCATGAAAAACAGAAGGTGACACACACTTAAGACACACACACACACACAAGTTGCTTGTTTCTGCAAGTACACATAGTGTGTGAACAAGCAATGAGTGGGATCCCATTTCACCCAAACAAAATCTCAATTGTCAGGCCACATAACTGTTGACAGTGTCGCTTTGTTGTTGCCTACATGCACATTCTGGGCAACCAGACAACCAACCAACTCTATTCTGACTCTCTGCTCTTCGCAAACCTGCTAAACCCATCTCAGCCCTGCTTCTCCTTCCTCTCTCCACAGTCCCGCCAAAGCCACGGTGTCATCCTCAGATCCGCCCTGAAATCATCGCCGGACAATGACATTTGCCATTGTTGCCGTTTTAGTGGTCTGCGTGGCCTTTAATGCGCATCATCCTCCGCTCATCTCTGTGAGAGCTGACGAAAGCCTTATTGACTCACACACCCTTTAAAAACAACATGAGCACACATGAAACACAAATACACCTCTGCTGTGAGACATCCTGTCTCTGATGACCTGCCACCTCAGCGAGAGATTGAGTCACACCTGAAAGCAAAGGTGTCATTTTGCAATATGAAATTACACAGATATACATCTTATCCACAAACACACATACACACATGCACACACTTGTGCATGTGTAAAAGAAGGAAGGGAAGATGCAGCCAGAGTAGTGTGGTCTTGAACTCTCTCATTCTCAAGGATACCATGCATATTTTGACTTCGACCGTGACTTTTATTACTTTTTCCTCTGAAACACGCCCTGAACTGACAGCCAGATGTCACTGTGTGTGTGTGAGAGAGTGCACCATGCATGGCAGCAGGCCCACAGTTGTCTATGAGGACTGTGAAAGTGTGTTTGTGAGTGTGAGTGTGAGTGTGTGTGTGTGTGTGAGCGTGTCCCAAAGTTGGGAAAATCCCAGCAGCATTCCTGTAATTCCTCCCAGCACCACCCCTCGCAGGAAGAAACAAGGCAGGAATGGAAATAAAAAAAAAAAAAAGGAGGAGGAAAGCTCGCGGTGTGACATATTCTGTGGTTGAGATTCAATCCCCCCCTCCTGAAATTTCTCCTCACTCTCTCCATCCCTTGTCCTCCTCTCTGCTCTTTCCCTCCTTGTCTCTTTTCCTCTCTTGTGCCACGTTGCCCTGCGAAAGCCAGGAACGCTGCTGCTTCGTCCCGGAGCTGCCGAGGGTGAAGCCTGGTAAACACACACTCTGCTTGAGAGCTGAGACATTATGTACAGTGATGGTACCAGACTCCTTCCTGGTTGTTACACTGGCTTACACAAACATAGTGCACTTACACCCTGAGATACAACAATGTAGTTCCCTTATAGTGGATTGTAGAGGTTTAAACTGAGATATTACAGTGAAATCAGATGAGATAATTACCATAAAGTTCATTTAGGTCATTATTAACTTATCAGTGAGCACTCTGGCTGGAATTTGAACTCCTTATGTTATGTCAAAATTAATGTTATGGGGACTTTACATTGAAATGAGCATGTGTTTGTGAATGTGTGTCCCTTCAAAGCATGCAAAAAAATATGTTTGTTTCCCAAATGGCTACTTGGGTATTTTAGAGGTCTATTCTTGTCAACATGACATGACAAAAAATGCGTGTCTGCAAGTGTGCAGTCTGAATGCAATGCAAACTGTCTGGGCTATGGCCTTGAGGAGCAACACCCTCCACCTTCAGGCTTTCCAGCGGTTTCCAGCAGCCAGTGTGAGCCCATTCAGCGAGCACGGGAGGCGGGCCGAGCTGCTGCAAACCACCGCTGTAGCTCCGGTCATCCGTGCCGGAGCCTGGTGCAACATGGGCTAGGTAAACAACAACAACAACAGTCTCCGGTGCTGTACTCACCTACATCGGCGTTGCAGAACGCCTGTTGCGGATGTACTGGAGCGCAGCTGCAAGCCTCCGCGAGCTCCTCCGCCCTCCACAGGACCAGCAGCGCGAGCGTGCAAAGGATGCCGTTAACGGAAAACGGCATTTTGTTTAAACACTGATGCGATGTTTTTTTCAGCCTCGTCGTTGCTGTGTGCTGCGCAGATACGTTGCAGTCTAGATCCAGTGGCAGGGAACAGCGTCCCCCTCCCTTAGTTTTTTTTTTAACCGACAGAGACCTGGCGACGTCAACAGCACCGGACTGTCTGCTCGGTCAGCTCCGGTAAAGGTGAGGTTACACGGTGAGCTCAGTGGGCCCCGGAGATGTTCTGGTCAGTGTCAGCTGGTGTCTGTCTTTTCAGAAGTGTTTTCCTTTCTGGGGTCGAGGCGGTTTTATAAAGCTGCCCGCGCGACTCCTCCCCCAGGCGGTGACGGCTTGACCGGAAGAGGGCGCTGCGTCCTCCGTCTGTAACAACCGGAGCTGGGCCGTTTCAGTCTGAGGGCCAAGAGGTCCCTGATACTGACGTCTGTTTTAGAGCAAGTTCGCAAAAAATAAAATCAATTAAATCGACTAAAATACACGATTAAATTGTTTTTATTTATTTATTTATTTTTTTTATAAAGGTAACCAAACTGTAATATTTAAAGATGTTCCCTAAAGGTTCCTGTTACCTGGGTTGTTTTTACATAATGTCAAATGTTCATTTTTAAAAGGTGAAGTAGATGTAGTGTGAATTCAATTGTTACATTTCTGCACATAAGTTACTTCCACCTGCATCCTCTCCATCCATGAACATGACCTTCTCAGGATAAACTGATAACACACCTGTGTGTCCTTTACCTAAGGGTAAATGTCCAATGCACATCTGGACATGCTGTACTTGTGTCTTCTCTGTGGATCAGTAGCAACAGTGTTTATTTGACTGGATATGCAGAGCTCTTCGGGTTATTGTTACAGTGTTAAAGCTGCATCAACATCCAGTATGGTCCCAACGTCCATGTGACTCACATAAGTCAAGTCACTGCAGATGCTGAGTTTGCCGTTTTCCCTTATTCTGTCTGGGAGCTGCTGAAATTATGACTCAGTCTCTCCAAAGGTTTAATCAAAAACAACCTAAAATTAAACCTGACAACCTCTTCACCCTTGTTAAATGTTGCCAAAACTTAATGTGCTTCATTTTTATCACAAACAGAATTAAAGAAAACAACACTACAGACTTCTATATTCCAAATATTTGTGTGGTTTTATTCCTGCTTAGTCAGAGTTTACATGATGAAATGATCCAAATGGCAAACCTCTGAGATAAATCATGCAAACAAGTCAAACATCTACCTTTGTTCTGGCAGAAGAGGGCAGTATCCTCCACCTTTAACCACACAACTACAACATCTGACGGTTTCTCTCACACCACACTGCATGACAATTTCAGACTTAATCTGTGCATAGAAGTATTTATCTGGTTTCACAGTGAACCAATGAACCAACAAAAACACAGAAAATCCAGCAGCGTTGTTGCTCCTGCCACTATGTAGAAGGCACAGATTGTAAAGAGGCTTGGCAGACAGAAGCATTTTCCAACATTGAGACACTAAACAGGCAAAGAAAACAACTACAGAGGAGTCACACCATGAAAGACAAACTAACAGAGATCTAATCTGGCAAAGAAACATGCTGTTCCTGAGAGGAGATCATTTGGTTTCTCAACAGGAGTACACAATGCCCCTTTTATCCGTCATGTCTAACGTAAGAAAACATTTGACCCCAAAGAAAGAGAAGTAGAATCAGATAAAAAAGATCAAAAATCCCACTGATCGATAAGCACCATTTTGATGATAACGAAGCTAATAAGTATTTCATCATGACTAACAATTAGAAAAACACGACAAAGGACACAAACACACATGTATGTGCTCTTGTGTGTCGACTAGGTCACAGTAATCATCGCTCTCAGGCTTAGAGGCCTTTGTTGAAGTAAACTTGTTGTACGCTGTCTCCATATTGAGACACGATGGAGTTTCTCAGCTCCGGCTCCAGCTTCGACACGGCCATAGAGCTGTTAGAGAAAGATTGTGAGGAAGGGGAAAATGGAGAGAGGGAGAGGGGGAGTGGGGAGTGGGGGGGGGGGCACAGTCAGAATTAGTTAGATTAAACAAACTAATGCTGGTTTGTTTGCTTACACAGAATGCTTCAGACTAAACAAACTGTCCTTATCATTACTAATGAGTTGGAGAGGACATGAGTTTCTCAGACTACATCCATTAGTAGAATTAGGAAACACAGTAAAGTCTCTTCAACCCATTCAAAAACATTTTTAGGTTTACAAACCAAATTACTGCACCCCATCAGCTCGTGTTCCAAAATCCAAATTTTAAATATAAGATACTATACATTACTACAAGATACTATATAATCACTTGAATGGGAAAGTGGTCCCAGACTTTTGGACGCCACTGTATTTTAAACTAATTTACAAATTGACTCTTATTCGACCGGACAATAATCTAATCTTCTTCTTCCCAAACATCTCAGACTATGTCCACACAAAGTTAAATTCCAAAATGCAAATATCAGAAATGAGCTAAATCTTTTCGTCTTTAAACCTCGGTTCAGTCAGACGACACAAAGTTGTTTGTAAAGCACCTCTCAACAACAAGGCAATTGAAAGTGCTTTATATAAAGCCATAAAGGCATTAAGATGAGATTAAAAAAAAAGAAACACAAGGCAATAAAGACAGACACATATGATTAAAACAAAGTAAAATATAAGATAAAAATAACCTAAAATAGAATAAAACAAATTAAATAGTAGAATTAAAAAAAAAAAATCACAGATAACTTGTGCCACTCAAACTTATATGTGAAAAAGAAGCCAGGCTGTTGAAAACCAGTGTGACTTAAATGCACCATTAAGTTTATAAGCTACATGTGTGAGCAGGTTAAAGCACAGAAACAGGTTCATTACCATCTCTGAGGAAACAGGGAGCAGGCAGCCGGCACCATGAAGATCAGACTTCAAAAAGAAAAAAAAACAAAACAAAACCATAGAACAAAGTTAGTTTTTTTTTTCTACCGTTAAATGCTGTGAGGACATTAAAATTCCTGTGAACGCTGTGACCCTTTCTACTTACAACACGCCAACCATCATCACTTGAATTGGTCCGTGGAGGAAAGTGATTCTCTGTGAAGAGACAGAAAAAGACTTAATAACAGATGCACATATTCATGTTGAGGATCTGAGCAGTGAAGACAAAGGTCTGACCTGCATGAACTTGTACTTCTCCAGCCTCTGCATGATGATGGGGAGGACAACTGACAGAGGAGAAGAGAAACGTTAAGAGAGGACAAGGATAACTTGAAGAATTCAATAAAATATTCATGAAATGAAAATTCTCTGCGTACTCATTCCTGGTGCGGCCATGGTGATCCGAGAGATGACCACCTGTGTGATGCCTTTTACTGCTGCTTTCTGTAGAGGAGATAAACAAAGGACTTTGTGAAGAAAAAAATGCTTGTACATTTATTTTAAATACATAAAAAACAAAGAGTGCTGACCGTAGAGTGACCCAGTTTGTTCCCGTTTTCATCTGTGACAGCGATGCCGTTCAGAATTTCCCTGAGAAACAGAGAGAAAATGATATTGAACAGAAAATCGAAGGAAAACTGAAAACAAAACTTTGCGGTGTCATTACAGTCTCAGTATTCCCTATGACTAATACATTGACTTTGACATGTAAAATTGGTGGAGTGCCCCTTTAGTCTCACACACGAGTATACACTGTATATAAAAAAGGTACATCCATGTATACTTATATGTCCATGATCAAGTGACTAACGTTGCCAAGCCGCTTGAGTGGCTAAAAAAAGAAAAAGCCTATATTTACGTTTAACTTTATTTTATTTTTGGAGACGTTATATACAGATTTGGCCTCCACACACACCCAATTACAGCCCTAAAAATAAGAAAAACACCTACTCAGTGCCAAACGTGTCTCACCACTATTTCAAGCCCAGTAATCCTCATGAACACCTCGTTTCATCATCTAACACAGGAAATGCGACCGTGTGCTGTGACTGGGGCTGCCCAGGACGGCTGCTCTGAGAGACTCACTTTGATTTCACTAAGGAAATCTGCACCATCCAACGTACAGTGATCCCTGCCTGCACATATACATATTTTTTAGGAGTTCAAAGAGGAGAGACTCACTGTTGCCTCATCATAGGAATGTTAACACAGTTGGCTGCTGCCACCGCTGCAAACGGGACCCAGCGAGCCACAAGAGGAGGAGCTTTCTGCAGGAGAAAGTGGAGACAGAAAACAGAAACATAAGGCAGGTGTAAACGACACAATCCCTGATCCAAATATGGATGAAACGGCAGACCGGCACTGAAAACATCCCAAAGAAATATTATATATATAATATATTATATTATGTATATTCTCTAAATTTACAAGTATGTTGTAGCCCCTCTTATCTATATCTGCTGAGGAAGACCATAAGATGCAGGCAAAAGCTCCAGAAAAGAGGAAGTAAGTGGATCCTGAAGTCAGACTGTTTTTAAAGGTGAAGAATGAATTTTCCAGCTCAACATCAGTTGATCTGGTCTTTGTGCTACCCTGGTTTTTTCAGTGCACTTTTCCTGCTGCTAACACGAGACAGGAAACACACCTGCGTGATTAACTGTTTCTAATTATCCCGATGAGTTCGGTGATAAATTAGATTTGAAGAATGACTCCTTAAAAACACTAAGCTCTCAGGAGACCGTGTGCAGGAAACAGTAAGCGGGTGTTTGTACCTTTGTGTATAGGTTGAGTCCGACTGCTGTTGCTAACGCTGTGCTGGTTGCTGTAATGTAGGCGACTCCAATCTGCCTGAGAGACACGACAGTGACACAGGACAAAAGCTGTTTTCAGATTATGTTTTTTTTTTTTTTCCTAAAGCATCCACATTCACTGAATGTAAACACTGAGCTTAGAGATCATACAGTCAGTAAAGACCCATTCACACTTGTCATATCCAGATTAGATTTAATGAACATTTATTTTATATTTAGCCACATATATGTTTCTGCATCAGCTGGTTTTCACATGCAAATCAGAGTCAGTTCTACTCCAGCCCAGAGGGTGGTGGTAATGCGCCTGAAGCTGTTTGGTACAAACTGGCTGAAAAACATAAGAAGAATGATAACTTCACTGCACTTCACTTCAGCAGTTCAGTAACAACACAAGCAGTTTAGCCTCAGTGTTGTAACACACAGGTGACTCCTATGGATGCACTACAAGTGGGTCATCTTTGCAGACACTCACTCAGGGATAGGACACACTGACACTGAGTCAGAACATTATGACCACCCCTGTCTAATGTCTAATGTCCTCGGACTGTTGGTAGGAACTCATCACTGCTAACCTGAAGCACCTCACTTTATGTTATTTGTGTAAAAACAAGAAGAAATACTGTTGAACTTCCTGTTTTTCTGGTGTTTTTGTTTTTACTAAACAATTTCTGGTACATTACCAACAGCCCCTGGGCTCAAGCAGCCGACCCTGATTTGTATGTAGTCCAGGAAAACCAAGGCTGACTGCAATTTGTGATAAACAATGGAGAGGTATGTATGTGTAAATGAAAAAGGAAAGATGTGGATCATGTGGATTTTTATCTAGATAAGAGACACTTAATGTTACAAGTGTTGATGGGGTCTTACTGGGTCTTACTTGGGAGTGATCGGGGAGGCAGCGTTACGGTTTGTGTAGTTGACCAGAGCGTTGAAGGACTGATTCACCCACTGCCAGAACACCACAGCAGGAACTGTCCTAAAAACACACACAGTTATGAAACCTCAAAAGCTTCCTCTGTGAAACTGCAGCATGTGGTAAAATGCAGCTCATCCTGTTTGCTCTTCACCACCTGTAGAACTGCAGCATGAAGCCGGTGATGGCCATGCCTCCAGGGACCTGGAAGGACATACGGCCGATGAGGTTCATGCGGTCTCCTGTGTCAGGGTGGAAGGCCGAGTCGTACAGCTTCTTAGCGTAGTGGAGCTGCTCCTCTGTAGTGCCGGGAGGGATGGATCCTGCCCTGGAGAGCATCAAAAACACACCTAAGTGAACCCCCTCACATTTTCATACCATCAACTACCTGCAGAAACGTTCTTGCATAGCCTGTTTTTTGAGTTTTGGCTCATTTTTCATGTTGAATCTTGCAGGTGACTCCAGGGAAAATCCACCCTGCAACAGACTTTACTTACTTTGCACCTTTTTTATGCCTCTGTCGAGAGCTGCAACTACTGATTATTTTCATTATCAATTAATCAGGGGATTCATTTGATCAGATTGTTTCGTCTATAGCAAATCATTTCATCTTTAAATGTTTTTACATTCTGTAATTCCTTATAATATCCTCTATTGTTAGTAATGGAGTTCTGTAACACTCCCACACAGGATTAAAATTCCCTAGATGGGCACAAAAGTTTCACAAACAAACAATGCAGCATGAAATCAAGCATTTTGTTTTTTAATTTTAGCTTGTTGACGTCAGCCTCACTGTTTACTGTTCACTCTCTCTGCACCGTATAAGAGCTGTTACTGTTATTGCAAATCCAGCATCCTACTGCTACTGCTTCACTAAAAGCGTTGAACCAGGCGCAACACAGGTTGGCTTTTATTCTGAATCAATCACAGGAAAAATGACATATGTTATCAAAGTTAGAACCAACTGCAATCATTCATCATCATCAAAAATGTTTCTACAGAAACCAGACATCTTTCTTTTTTCTTTTTTTTTTGCATTCCTTGAGAGCAGATCAGTTTAAAATATTGCAGGGAGTAATAAAACAAGAAGGAACAGCCACAGTGAGCTGTTAGATGAAGAGCTGCAGGCGAAGTGTGCAGCATGTAATCAGATCACAGATGCAACAGAGGGGGAGAGGCTGCTAGTCCCAGAAGTGTTTTTACCCTGTTCTGTATCCCCATATATTGATATCCTTAATGTTACTTAACACAGTATCCTGGGACGCTCCCAGTCCCAGATAATGTAATGAGCCTATATGTTTATGTGCCATCCATTTTAATTATTTTAATTTTGTTTCTGAGAAATCATGTTTTGTCTGTCATTTTGATAAGGCGACATGGTTTAAATACTACAATACCCATGAACCTCAGGAGCCATCGCTGTGGTATATCACACCAAACACACCATGGGAGTTCTAGTTAACTCCTTCACTGAAAATTTTATGTACACAAGTGTGTAGCCTTGACTTTTTGTCCAAGAAATCAGATATTTTGTAATTAGTTGTTAATCATTCGGAATGAGGACTGAACTCCAATTGTGAGTCATGTAATATTTTCTATGGGAAGAATGAACAGGACTTCCAGAACCAGGTGCGCCATAAATAGTTCCTCCTACTGAGAAACTCTATTATGATTGACTGACTTCTTTATCAAAACAACATGAGTTTGTTTGGCTGCGCTGTAAACAGATGCACCAGTTGCTCTTCTGTTGTATGTCTGTCTAGGGTTCGGCCAATCACCGATGCCATCGTCCATTGCTGATGGCTGACAGTCATCACAATGTTGACCCTGACCCCATCCACACTGACAGTAGGGCGCACACTGCCCCACACACATACTATGATTAAACAGTGTAGAATAGTTGATCTCACACACCTTTTTTTCTTATCAGCTTCTTGATCCAAATACTGAACATCATGGTTCCAAAATACAAAGTTTATGAGCTTAAATTATTGGTATGACATGAATGAAAGTTCAGTTGGGGGAAAGCCATCGATCCACTAGAAAGAAGACCTCTCACTCTGCTGGATTTGTTGGAAATACAAAAAACACTCAGTTTTATATTGACTTCAAAAAGCTACAACATGTGCATGAGGATCGTCATAAACAATCAGACAGTTACAGTTTGTGTGACAGTATTCTCAGTTTGATTTTATCTGTTTGACATTTTCTTACCTGCAGCTTTCTACTAAAGCTTTGGCTTCATCTAAGCGCGAGTCAGGCAAGAGCGCTGTTCGACAGTCGGTGATGTTGAAGAAGTGTTTCAGTCGGCCCATAAACGTAGACTGATCCCATTGTGGTGCATCGATGTCAAATGAACTCAAAGCCATTGTGGTTATTTAAAAAAAAAAAAAAAAAAAAAAAGTTCCAAAGAGTCCCAACTTAATGCATTAAAAATTTAAAAGCCTGTGGTTGGCCTCTGTTCACTCTGCAGAAGGTTACTCGGCAGCTGCAGTCAAAACCTGGAGAGAAAAAAACAGATGTTTGTCAGAGAGAGACAGGTTACTTTACCTTTGAACTCCAATGCCCACAGGCTTACCCAAAGGTGTGTGTGTGTGTGTGTGTGTGTGTGTGTGTGTGTGTGTGTGTGTGTGTGTGTGTGGGTGTGTGTGTTGAGCTGCAACAAATAATTGAACCCCATATTGTCATCCTCAATTTGAAGACAGTAAAATTATGGAGTCCAGGTGAACAGGTATTTGGGCTGCAACTAATAATTACTTTATCAAATGTATTTTTTTTTTTTATATAGAGCATTTTTCCCTATTTTTCTGACATTTTATGATACAAAACGATTCCTCAGTGAATTGAGAAAATAATCAGTGCAGCCCTAAAGGCAGCTTATTTTAATTCGTGGAGCTACAGAACTCGATGGATTCCTAGAGCTGCAACAATTAGTCAATTAATCTATTAGTTGATTAAAGAAAAGAAAAAAAAGGGGGAATTATTTTGATGAATCGATTGTTTCAGGCATTTCTCAAAGAAAAACACTAAAGATGAAAACACCAAGGATTTGCTGCTTTTTTTTTGTCACAGTCAATCAAATATCTTTGGGTTCTGGGCTGATGGTTGGTCAAAACAAGCATTTTGAAAACATCACTTTGGGTTCCAAGAATTTTCAATTTCACCTTTACATTTTATAAACTTAATGATTCATTATTAGTAGATTAAACAATAATGAAAATTACTAGTTGCAGCTCTTAGTATTATGAACCCTGTGAGAGTGGTCTTTGAGATACTGTTGTTCTATATATTATTCACCGCACCAAGTTGTAGTTTTTTGGCTGTAGCTGCCTCCCAAGTTGTTGTAAATTGCTGTTTGCTAACAGGCGCCCTTGGGTTCAAATCCAACATATCCCTAGACAAACATAAACTCCTGTTCCTCCCTAAAAATTATCACTTCCACTAGAAATCATTGACCACCTCCTGGTAAATGGTTCCACAGTTTGTCATTTTGGGTTTTTGCTGCTGCAGCATTTAGCTTCCAATTATCCAACCGGAGGAACCAGAAACTGCTGACTGCAGCTTTAACATCCCACTGTACGTATTTATCACTACATTACTAATTATTTACTGTAGGAATTATGTGAAAACAAATCTCACAACAACAGAAACCTGTCCTGCGGTGTTTAATCTTCTGTCAATAAAGGGCACATGGAGAGGAGAGGAGTATATCAGTGCTCTCTGAAGGCTCAGTCCGGCTGGAACTGGATTGTTCTTGGAGCTGTTTGTTTAGAAAGTAGGGTAAAGGCCTGCAGAACCTTGTGGAGAACACTGAACATGGGCCAAGAGTCAAACTGGCCCTAAATACCATGACATATCCATAACAATATGTCAACAAAGACTAGGATGGACAGGATGCATAGGATGAAGCTCCCTGTTGAGAAACTGGGTCATCAGGAGGAAACACTGTATGAACAGGCAGCCCCGATGTAGTAGGGCTGCAACATATGATTACTTTCATTGTCAGTTAACATGTTGAATACTGATTTTGTTCAACAGATTCATCATTTTGTCTGTAAAATTGCTTGTTTTGTCCAAACTACAGTCCAAAACCCAAAGATAATCAGTTTACAATGATATTAAAAACAAAAACATGCTGCAAATCCTCACATTTGAAAAGCTGAAACCAGCAAATGTTTAGCATGAAAGCAGGCATTTTGGTGTGCTTCTATTTCTATCATTTCATTTCTTCTACTGAAGTTAGCATGCTATCCAGCTAGCCCTGTCAGCCCGTCTCATCACTCTCTCACACCGAGTCACTGTAGCGTCCAGATGGCCCATATCATTAACTCGTCTTGTAAATGCAACGTTGGCTGAAGCTCTTGCCAAAATTGGTAAGTAAACAGCTGTTGACATGAAGGTTGGCTGTGTAGCAATATGCAAAACTCACAAATATCCCCTTTAATAAATTAGTTCAAAGTTTCAAAATCAATTTTCTGTCTGTTGACAAACTGTTTCAGCACAATGAACAAACCTTGACTGATACATTTGACAGTTTGCAGGTTGTTTGCTTTGTTGTTCACAGACCTGCAACTGAAAATATATCAGTCAACTGGTGCATTATTAGTAAACTGATGCAGGAATCTGGAAAGCAGGGTTGAAACAATTAATCAATCAATCAATCAATCAAAAGAAAATTAATTGACAGCTAGATTAAATTATTGATTGTTTGGTTCAGAAAATATTGAGAAAAGCCATCATGATCATAATTACACCTTCATAATACTTGGCATCAAAACTCCTACATTAAGGTGATTGACAGGAAATGAATCTGCAATTCCATTGATAATTGATTAATCGTTTTACATCATTTTAAAAATTCATTGGTTCCAACTTCTCAAATATAAGGGTCTGCTGCTTATTGTTAGATTATGTAATTTTATCCATGATATTTTTTTAAACAGTTGGTCAGGCTAAACAACACATTTGAAGACATACTTTTTGGCTCTGAGAAATTATAATGGGCATTTTCACTTATTTGTGACATTTTATGGACAAAATAATGAATTGACTAATCGAGAAAATAAGATGGAAGATCAACTGATAATGAAAATTGTTAGTTTCAGCCCTACTTGGCACCTTCATACTTGTTTTGTCCAACTGACAGCTCAAACCTCAAAATGATCTAAGAGGAACAACAATTATTAAAATAATAATAAAGCAAAAGCAGCAAATTATCACAACTGAGTGGCTGATCAAACTTTTGGCATTTTTACATGAAAAATTACCAATTACCATAATAATTGCCATTAATTTTCTGTCAATCAACTAAAAGTTTCAGCTCTAATTGCATACACTGCTGGTAGTATAAGCTCTAACAACGGGTAATATTTTCTTCAAATGTTTTGTATGTACACCAGCTGTCAGACAACTGTAGTGCAATAAAAAGTAGATCATTTTCCTGTGAAATGATGTGGACTCAAATCATAAAGTGGCAAATACTCAAGTAAAGTACATGTGCCTCAGATTTGCACTTAAGCACAGTACTATTGTAACATAAGCTGCTTGAGGTTGACAAACTGGATCTGCAGGCCAGAGCTAAGCTAACATCTGAATACATCTGGATAACTGTCAGCTGATTAGTTAAAAGGGGATTTAAGCTTGTGTGTGCAGAAAAGGTGTAAATTTACGTATGCATTTGATGTAGCAGATAGATATGTGGACAGAGTGAGGTGTTGTGTTCAATAAAAAAAGAAAAAGATAGTTAAGACATGTCAGTCGGAGCAGGCAGAGTGATGCAACATTACTCGGGTTGGCAGCCGGCTTCTGCAAACAGCAGAAAGAAACAAACACGAACCAGAGCATCGACACACGGGCTGCAGACTGTACAGATAAAGCCTGAACACTTACCTTTTGTAGGACGCTTTAACACAGTGCAACGTAGCTTGTCAGGTAAACCAAATGCTCTCAATGTGGCATAGTAAAGAAATGTGCACGTGGCATGCCGTCTTCCAATCACGAGCCGGGGCAGCTCCCTGCTGACGAATACTCCAGGTTCCCTTCAGGGACTAAAATAAAAACATAGAAGAGACACGGTTCACATGTTGACTCAACGTTTGCTGCTAGTAACTATTGTACTAACTAGCTAGCAAACGGACTATTTGCCAGTAAAGCGGCTTTGTTCGACGTCTCAGGTGGAAATTAAACAAATTTATGGAGTAGCATGGTATTGAATTTATGAGCAATAACTCATGTCTCCTGGGCATGAACAGCCCAGAACATGAAATGTTGAGCTATTTCTTAGCCAACATTTGAAACATTTCACATGCAGCTAGTTAAACTTGTCCACCATACTTGGGGTATATGCCGCTTTCATGTCTTAGCTCTTAAGTCGTAAATATGAATATCTTAGTGGGGAAAAACGTTCACGTCAAGTTATCCAATGTCGCCAAAATGGGAAGAGCATGAAAAACATCCATTATTAACCACTTGGGTGTGTTCACACATTATATTCATTAAAGTGGATACAACTTATAATTAGTCTAAATCTGTTTCTTTTGTTGTGCTATGTATTTGTAGCAGTTCCTTACCAAATGAAACCAGATTCAAACAAACATTTAATAGCTCTTATAAAAATTGGCGACATAGTCTTAATATTGGATTTTATTTTGCTGTAACTGACAGCAGTTTCTGACAACAGTGTGTCGTCATGTCTCGGGAAACCCTGATACCGACAGTATCTGGTGAAAGAAACTACAGACAGGACGACAGACGAGCTGCTATTTTCATCTTCTTCCCACTGGCCAACAGTACGTGAATGCAGCATGAGCTCGAGTTTTGTACGTAACTGTGCGTCTGACGTCACCCCCCTTAGTAACCCTCGGCGGCGTCTCCAGGAGAGAAGGCAACAAGATGGTGAGTTTAATTTATCCCAATAATTAGCCCTTAACTGTAAATACCGAGCTCCAAGTGTGCAAATATTCGCATTAAACGTCGTTCACTTGCATTTATCTCCAGTTTAATAACTATCTTTGTACGCAGCTTACCGAGAAAAGCATTCAACTGCAAAAGCTGCCTTGTTGCTTCGTTCAGTTATCAGGGGAGATTAGCTTAGCACGTTAGCTGTGTTTAGCTCCCATATGCGAGCCATGTTTCGAAACAACTACCCCTTGAGGCACAAAAAACAATAAAGATGATGTGACGGGATGCCCACAGGACCTGTTGTTGCTCTCATGTGTTGGCACCGGTAGGAGAGTGCTTGCTCATCATCTAAAGCCATAGTGAGGACTAGAAATGCACTTGCACGGCCTGTAAGTGAGGAGTCAGGGTGCACGGGAGGAAGATTTCTGCAATGGTGCCCCCCCCCCTCCAGCAAAATAACACTACAACATTGTATCCTATTTCACCTCTTGTGGCAGGGATTGCTGTCCATCCTGCGTAAGCTAAAGAGCACACCAGACCAGGAGGTTAGGATACTGCTGCTGGGTCTGGACAACGGCGGGAAGACCACCCTGCTCAAACAGCTGGCATCCGAGGACATCAGCCACATCACCCCTACACAGGTGGGGAGGAAAGGCGCACACAAAGAGTACTGAACAAAACTTTTAAGCACTTAAAGTAAAGTGATGATGTTTTCAATGAATGCATATTTCTAAATTATCAGTTAGCTTCTTACAAGGTGCAGTAAACACAAAAAAATTAAATCAATATTAGATTTGACCATCTTTTAAAAAAAGCACCAGCTCCAATACACGTGTGCACAGTTTTTAAAGATACTTGGCAGGTAGGTTGTTCTTCTTAGAACTTGCCACAGGTCTTCTGTGGATTTAGGCTGTCTCTGTGTCTTCTGTCTCTCCATGTAATCCCAGCCAGACTCCATGATGTTGAGATCAGTGCTCTGTGGGGGCCGGACCATCTGTTCCAGGACTCCTTGTTCTTCTTGTTGCTGAAGATGATTCTTTATGACTCTGGCTGTATGTTTGGGGCTGTTGTCATGCTGCACAATAAATTTAAGACCGATCAGACACCTCCCTGATGGGATTGCATGATGGATAACAAAATAAACTTCTAAACTGCCTAAAACTTTTGGACAGTACTGTATACTGCCTTTTATTGGAGCAAACATAACACAACAAGGTTGGGGAGCGTCACTCCTTGGCAGATGTATGATTTTTTGGAACCAGGAGTTGCTTAATCCACTTTTGTGTTCTGTCCAGGGATTCAACATTAAGAGCGTCCAGTCTCAGGGTTTTAAACTGAATGTCTGGGACATTGGGGGCCAAAGGAAGATCAGGCCGTACTGGAGAAACTACTTTGAAAACACAGATGTGCTGGTGAGTGGATTTTAACTCACCAGACACAGCAAAGAAGCTGTGAAGTCACTGTTTTATACATTTGCTCTGAGGACCTGCTGAACATACTAACAGAGAAAATGTCCAATTTGTTTCAGATTTATGTCATTGACAGTGCTGACCGAAAGAGGTTTGAGGAAACAGGTCAGGTATGTACTGGCATGGTGTCTGAATGAATGATTTTTTCCATACCAGAGCAAGGTGGTGTCTTCAAATTTTTCAGAATATCTGCAAGTCCTCAAAAGTCTTAAAAAGCAATGAATTTTGTTCTCTGTAGAAAAGGCCTTATAAGGCTTTAAATAGGTATAATAAAGTCTTTAAAAAATGTTACAAATATATATTTTTTGTACTCTGTTGTAGGCAGCTGTTTGTATGTGAGTTTACCAAAAACTGTCTGAAAATTCTCCAGTATTATTGTTCCACACCTCATGTGAAATTCATATATTAAATAAATAGGTAATTTTATAATTGGTTAATCCATCCACCCATTTGTCTATCCAGTTTCTGCTGCTTATCGAGATTGTGTTTAATAATTGATTAATGATATTATTCTGAATTATTGTTATATACAGCTGGGAAGTAGTGACAAAAATGTGATGTAGTTGTCAATAAATTTACACACTGTGTAAATAACTCAAGGTTATATCATCCCTATTGGTTTTCATTGATAACTTTCATACTGTCAATAAGATTGTGAAGTAGATATTAAGAAAGTCTTCACATTTGAGATGCTGGAACAAGAGAAGATTTGGCATTTTTGCTAAAAAGAAAAAAGAAAAAGACAATTAGTCGATTTATCTGAATTCTTGCTGCTTAATTTTGTGTTCATCAAATTATAGTTACAGCTTTACTGTCACATATATTTGTTTTCCTTGTGGGTATCAGAGCTGTTTTGAAGTCATTTGGGGCAAATCCAAGTCAAGGTTCTGGTCTTTAGAAGCAAATTACAAGTCAAATGTGAGACTTGTTAATGGTGATATTTATGCAACTGAGAAATCAAGTCATTTCAATGAAGATGTGTGGCCAAACCTGTTGCTGTTATTCTTTCATTGTTTTTTTACGAGATCAAAAGATGACATTTGAATCTTTTTTGCTTTAACGCCCAATCAAGGTTTCATGAAGTCTCACAGGAATCACGTTGTTGTGACTTGCCCATGACTAGAATCTAAGTTTCACATCTCAAGTCTGCAGCTCTGTTCTTTATTAACATGCATTGCTGAAGTCATTTCTTCTCTGTGATAGTATTTGTGTGTGTCTCTTTATGAATAACTGACAGTTATTGACTGTGTGTGTGTGTGTGTGTGTGTGTGTGTGTGTGGGTGTGTGTGTGTGTGTGTGTTGCAGGAGCTGGCTGAGTTGTTGGATGAAGAGAAGTTAAGCGGCGTTCCAGTTCTGATCTTTGCAAACAAACAGGACCTGCTGACAGCCGCCCCGGCCTCTGAGATCGCAGAGGGTCTCAATCTGCACACCATCCGGGATCGCATGTGGCAGATCCAGTCCTGCTCCGCCCTCACTGGTGAGGGGATTCAGGTGAGTCGAGCTTTTCCTTCTTTTTTTTTTTACATGAGGGTTTTTTCTCTGTGCCTTTATTCCCTTGTTCTCACTGTGCTGCTGTTCCTCTTAAATCCACTTTCAGGAGGGCATGAATTGGGTCTGCAAGAGCGTCAACGCCAAGAAAAAATAGCTTTGCTTCTAGTCTTCTGCTACTCAGGAGGAACAGCAGCAGCAAACACACACACACACACACACACACACACACACACACACACACACACTATCACACATTGTACCCTCCTGAGCCTTAGTACGATGGGATATACCTGTGAATGTAAACACACTACTAATCCAACATGGACTTGGAGTTTTTAACCCCCTACATTCCTGTATCGCTGATGTTTACTAATCTCAACACATCTTCCTACGTTGGCCTCTACAAAGAAGAGGGAGGGATGGGGGGGGGGTTGCCTTCAAAGGGAACCCATGCCAGGAAATCAACCCCCCTCCGCTCCTCCACACTCCACCCACGTCAGCATCAGTGTCCCAGCCAATCCCAGCCACCATCCACAGCCTGTCACCACCTCAAACATTCCCATTAAACTGCTGTCTTTGATTGGAATTCCAGCTTGTTCTTTAAACTCTATCGCTCGCTGTCCAGGAAACCAGCCTCCTCCACCCAACCTCCAACCGCCCCTCCCATCTCCCATCATCTTTTTCTCCCATCTCCTTCCTACAGGTTGACATGTATTGTTGTTTTTATTTTTTATCATTCCATGATGGCTGTAAGCGCTTTTCCTGCTATGGCTCTGTTTGAAGTGAGGTATATTTTTGTAATTGTTTTATTTATGGTGAAGTAGAGTGTAGAGTGCTTTTCAAACAACGACTGGTGTGGTGTGTGTGATTTCAAGGATGTTGGAGAAAAGGTCCGACTCTCCCCACTAAAGCATAATACTGTACATGTTAATATGTATAAAAAAAAAGATGAAATTAAAAGGTTAAGAGGAACTACATTTTTTGGATCAACTGTAAATAGCTTGGCCCTGTGTTCATATGTTACGTTATGCATATGTTATAGAGTATATGTTACCCTGCTGTACTGTGTAATCTATAATGTTTGCATATGTAATATATGCTGGCAGATTTTTAACAGAGGTATACCGTATGTACTGTATGTCCCAATGCATTTCTTTGTGCTCTTTGGATTAGTGAGGGAATTCACTCTTTAGGCGTGTCCTTTTGATATTCTTGAATGTAATCTGTCCAGAATTGAAGGTACTATATGTGAATAAAAAGATTAAAAAAAAGTTTCATTATTATTATTATTGAATGAACTTGCTTCCTGCACTAACAGACCAGTTCATTCAGACCATGTAGGGCAACTTTTTTTTGTTTGTTAATCTAACCAGGCACTAGCGCTCACACACCCGTAGCAGGTGGAGTCAGCTGTTCATGACAGCAACTGAGCCTGTGTGGAGAGGCCTCTGTCGGAGACAGCAGCTGGGGGAGAGAGCAGAGCTTAGATGGGTAGATAGATACAATAGATGGATAATAATGCAGCAGCCACTTCACATAAATCACAAAAACAGTGCAATTAAAGGCCACATTCTATACAATAACTAAACACACTTGTCAAAAGTGAAGGCCATGCTGTCTCACTGACAAATCCTATATGTCAACAGTCAAAAGCAAATTTAACACATAAATGACAGGTATTTTCACTTTTACCAGTCGTGATGAAAATGATTTCCAAGGCAGAAATAAGATTAGCAAAACCTATAACTTGTTTTTTTAATGATATGCTCTTAGTGGACCTTGTGCCAAGAGTTTTACTATTTCTTCTCCATAATGAACTCTACAAACTTAACACACTGCAGTTTTCCATCCTAAAACGCCTGCTGATGATCCAAATTAGACAATCTGAGACTCTGAGTAGGAAAATCAGTCTTTGAACTGCTCACAACTCTTAGATGTAGACATCAGTGTGTATAAAAGGATCTCACAGGCAGAAAAGGTCAGGAACCACTGACCTATGCAAACAAAGTTTAACTTCTAAATGACATATTATTGTTTTGTGTCTTCGTCAGCTGATCATAACTTAAATACAGGTCAGTTATTTCTTACCAAACATTATGGATGCAAGTGAACATTTAACAGCATCAGAAAAGATTACGACATCAGCCAATATGGACGTGATAGCAGCACTTTCCACATCAGTGCATTAAAGGGTTATTTTTAATTTTTGTATCACAAATTGTACCAGCTTCTTTCTGAGGCAGGCATAACAGAATAAAAGCTGCACTACACTTAATTTGAAAACAATTTTGGTTTGTTCTGGAGTTTCAGACAGGTGGCGTTGTATCCTCCTGCCTGGGTGAGAGCCTCATGGTCTGCAGCTGAGCAGCAGAAGCTGTGCAGCTCAGATCATATCAAATATCTTGAATGTACCTTTACTCAAGTACTGTACTTAAGTACACTTTACTCTAGTTGTACTCCACTTGAGTATTTCCACTTCATGTTACTTCACACTTCTTATTCCACTACACGTCAGAGGGAGATATTGCACGTTTTACTCCATTACATTTTATCACCTGTAGTAGTTGCTTTAATTTTACATAGAAAATGTATCATCATCTTACAAACTCAGGTCAGAGTCCCTCCACCATCGGTTCAGTACTTTTTTGTGTAATCCTACTGACTAATGTCAGCGCATTCGTTTATTTGCAATAAGAGTTCTCCACTCAAAGTTATCCATTTAAACAAATATTTATTTGCTATTAAAGAATCAAAATCAGCATGTACATGGATCTCCTCTGATCTGAAAACCACAGTCTGCAAGCAGTTAGCTGTGGCCAACGTCCCAGAGAAGAGTGTCTATCTTAGCAGTTACACAGAGTTTTGTATGTATTTTTGTAACTATCTGATTGGTGAAAAGGTTGGGGAGAAACCATGGTTTAGACTCAGCTCTCCCTTCGTTGGTGCACAGGCTGGTCCCAGCCTCTTGGCACAGTGCCTCCTTCATCTGAGCTGTCCTCACCTAGAGAAAAAAACCTACTCTCCCTTTTCCTGTAACCGCCTCTTCACCCTGTTAGGAGTTGTTTCTTACTTTAAACATCTGAGGCGGTCACCTGTCATCCTGTTCTTCTGGTGTCTCCCTATGTGTGCGTGACTGCCTTGAGTCTCACCCTAGCGCTCCCCAACGCATAGCAACAGTAATCATCATAATACTAAAGAACAAATAATAAACAAATAATAAACAACACTCTCTTAATAATGCAACATACATTTTAATATTTCTCACACTAACAAACCAACTAGAATGGCACTCAGTAGAACACATACCTCCACAAAGACCAAACAATCCTCCACGTCTGTCAGGCCCAGATTATTATCTGGATGTGTCAGTATTTGTTTGTGTTACAGCTGAAAAATAATTTTAAAGCTTCTCGAAGCATCATAAAGTTGCGTCTACAGGCTTATTGTGAACTCAAGATTACTTTCAAGTCATAAATATTTGCCAGTAAGAAGACATTTGGAGGTGTCACATGTCAAACAGTGTGTTCCTGCTCTAGGAACAGTGATGTGCTGTGTTTTACTTTGCGTAACATTGTATGCGACTGATTTAGAAGGCCTCAGAGACTTGCAAACGGCCTCTTCTTTTTTTTCTCACAAAGCTTCTTATTGTCCAGTCTTCCTCTCCTCAGAGGCAGAATGTACTCGTATTGTTCCTCATTTGTGGCTCTTAACTCCCTGTTAATTCTGACAAAGCGCTATGGAAAGTGTGATGCACCCTGTGAGTCACATTTAAAGACATAAAGGCATTTGAAGGAGCAGTTTGACATTTTGGGAAATACGCTTGTTACTTTCCTGTTGAGAGTTAGATGAGAGGATCGATAACACTCTCGTTTGCACTCTCAATATGAAACTGCAGCTAGCAGCTGGTTACCTTAGCTTAGCATAAGAACTGAAAATGAGGGGAAACAGCTAGCCTAGCTCTGTTGAAAGGAAACAAAATCCACCTACCAGCACTTTTAAACCCAGACACCCACACAACCATGTCTTTTTACGCTGGTTTTTGTAGGGAATTAAAAAAAAATAACATGTTAAATATTCAATGTAATGCAGATTTTTTTTTTGCCTAAATACAGACAGAGCCAGGCTAGCTGTTTCCCTCTGTTGCAATCTTTTCACTAAGCTAAATTAAGCTAAATTAAGCTAACAGGCTGCTAGCTGTAATTTCAACGTTTAGTGTACAGACGTATGTGCTATCAATATTCTCATCTGACTCAGCAAGAAAGTGACTAAGTGTATTTCTCAAAATGTTGAACTAGTCATTTAATGGGCATAGCGGGCAGATTGTTTTGTTTGCTGTTTCCAATGTCAAGAATTAACTTTCAGTCTGAACAACACAGGTCAACTAGCCTGGCACAGTCCCACACTAACAATAGCTGCTTACCGACACCAATGTAAAGCTCACTAATGGACATGTTATGTCTCATTTATTTTGTTTTTGTACAAAAAGTTATGATGTGTTAATTACAGAGCTTTAGGGGTGCTAGCAGGCTTCAGGCAGAGCTAAGCTAACCGTTCCCCCTGCTAAGCTAGGCTAATCAGCTGCCAGTGGTAGCCTAATTTACAGACATGCAGGGTCCTCAAAAAGCCTGGAATTAAAAGTCTGTTTTTAATTATATTTTTTTCTACTTGTATTTTTGTTATAATATTTTTTAGCTATACAAAACTGTCGGCTAGTTTGTCAGAGCATTTCTTGTGTCTATGACAATATTAGTCTTTTAGGCGCTCCAATATAATAGATTATCCTAACAGCCACTGCAGATGCATGTGTCACTTGTTCATTAAAGTATTTGTACAGGTGTTAATTTATATTTTTTATTATGATGTATTAAAAGGGGAAGGGGCCCAGATTTTTTGGGCTACACCACAGCGGATATGAGAGAGGCATCGATTCTCTCATCTATCTCTGTGAGAGTGCAAATAAGCGTATTTCCCATAATGCCGCACCATTCGTATAATGGATTAGAGCTTTGAGAAGCATATAGTCTGCAAGGTCAAAGAGTCCATTTTGTTTTCTGGTCCATGTTTTATCTACATGTGTTTGTTGAAACCTCAAAATGAGAGAACAAAAAGTTCTGTGGTCGTTTTATCAGTTAGTAAAAGCTTTTCCCCACTGTGTGTGTGTGTGTGTGTGCGCGTGTGCGCGTGGGGGCGTAATTTAAAGGAGCCAGACAGTGTGTGTTTGTGTGTCAGATACATATCGGAGACGTAGGCGACCAGATTACTTTCTCTCTTCTCATGGATCAGACAGCTGTTCAGCAGCTGTGTGTGCAAGTGTGAGAAAATGTGTGTGTCAGGAGAGGGAGAGAGGGGGGAGTGTTTGTTAATATGTGTGTGTTGTGTGTGTGTGTGTGTGTCAGAGTGGGAAAGATAGAAAAGCAGCGCTGTAATTTATGCTGCACCTCCGACCCCACAGTTCTTGGCTGCCTGTGTCTCTGCTGAGGTTTGCTGACGTGAGAAAAAAGGCAGCACATCAGACCTCTGCCTCCACCAGCTCGAGAGGGGAAGGAGGTGGGAGGAAGACGAGGGTGGAGCGAGAGAAGGCAATATGATTAAAATGTTTGTTTTTACGTGTACATTAACCACTGGTTGTTGTTAGAGGAAAAGAATTGGCGTTCAGAAACTCAAACTCACACATGTAAATGACTGTGTCACACAAAACCATCTAAAAACCTTGAGATTGAAAGTAAATTCTTGACTTAGGAAACAGGAGTTGAAGTTCATGTAGTAGCTGTGTTGGAGCTTTCAACAGCTTAAAAATGTCAAACCTTTCCTTTGAGTAGCTGCTCTGGAACTTTTGAGCATGTCACATGTTCTTCCTGAAAGAAAAAGCTTCATTTCATCAACATATTTTAAATCTCCATCTACAAACCTGAACTGGTTTTATTTCCCATTCCCCATTCACTCACTCAACTGGATCGTCCTTGCAGTCTGAATGGGGTTGAGGCTCAAAGTGCTGGGTAGGGGGAAGCAGTAATGCAACAGCTTAATCAGGCTGAGGGGAACACGGGAACACACACACACACTGACTACTCATCTCAAGATTTGTTCTCTCCATCCTGTTTTCTCTCTGCAGGCCTCCACCCACATATACTCATGAGCCCTGTTTGCACTGGGTGGACACAGATATTTAAAAGTTTGTTTAAATGGGTTTTTCCGCCTATTAATGTGTCTTTTAAGATGAATAAATACACCATTAGAGGAAATGTCAAACTGAGAAAAAGGCAGCCTGACAGATTGTTTTTAATGTTTAAGAAGGAACGGCAGAGATTGTAGGAGGATGTCGTTTTTTTTTTCTCTTTTGAAAGTCATATGGAGAGTAAGCAGATGACTGTGCAGAACGGAAAAACAAACACAGAGCACAAACGCTGTTTTTGTGGAAATGTGGAAAATATCAAAAAATAAGTTTGGTGATTTTTGTTATTGTAAATAAATTCCATGAAAAGACCAAAACCAACAATGAATTGATCCAACTAACAAGTACTGTCGCCACTGTAATTCAGCAAGACTATAATGACAATATGACACTAGATCAATTTGATTAAGCTTATTTCCTGAATGTCAAACAATGGACTTCGTTTGGTATGGGGCATCCATGTTTGCTTGGTTTCCCAGAGCTTTTGAAAAGTCAGTTTCCCACTTGAAATGGTGAGTTTGATTTTGACATGATTGCTATTTACAAGTGGAAAACTTGTAATCAGAATAATGCTGATATGACGTGAATGCAGCATCAATGTACGGTCACATAACATTTCCATCCGATGAAAAAGGACGCGATACCACATTTGTGATGCAGGCCATAAATCAATATTGATCACAGCGTCCACAAGCTGTACACAGTGGGAGAGAGCCATGTTGCACTTTAAAGTCTGATACTGTGATAATGAACTAAAAATAAGGAGAAAGCACTACAATAACTTCTCCACTGCCAAATATGTATTAATCAGCAACTGAAAATAGTCCCCAACAAATGCACTATAATACTCCTGTTTGAGTAATGTTCGCTAAAAACTACAGTTCTCAGCTATTTGAGACAATTACTGAGACTTTTAAAAAAATATTTGTGACTAGTTTTTGATACTTTATATCTTCAGAAGAAACCATTGGGTTTGGAGCTGAGAGCCACAGTGGCCGCCAATGGAAGTATTAAAGCATTGTGAGTTTTGGTCTTTTCATGGGACAATAACAAAAAGATTGACAATTGCCACCTCTATCCTTTTAAAGAACATGAGAAAATGGGATTTGCACATACAGAGTTGACAGCAGAGACCGGTTTAAATTTGTTTGTTTATTTGGAACCCTTCTCCAAATCACGTCTGTAATTTTTCCATTTCACAAAATATTTACAAAAAAGATACTTTTATGTTGTTTTTTTTCTCTTTATGTTGACTGTTGTAACAGCTCCTTTTTAGGATGACGAACCATTGCTTACATCTCGCAGTCCAGTCTCGTTCTTTTAGAAAAAGTTCATGAAAAAAATTCCTCCCACCCTTCTTTTCTTTCATACACTCATTTTAAAACTGCATACAGTTTTTTTTTCCACCATTGTTCTTCTTTTTGAGTGCTTAAAAAAAACAAACAAAAAAAAACTCTTCCTTGCATGCTTTCAGCTGCAAACAGGAAGCCAAGAGCTTGTGTGCTTATTGAGAGGAAGTGACATCTTTGCCCTGCAGGAAGTACAATTACAGCATCATCAGATCCTCCAGATGCTTGATTGGTTTGGTCTGTCCAGTCTTGTCTTTTTCTCCATAATCAGAGTCTCTCTAGACAATCATGAAACCTACGGTTGTACCAAATAACACAAAGTCATAGTAATTAATAAATGGAAACAGTCTTTGTCAGAAGATTTTCTGTCCTGTGGGAAGCCTGGCAGCAGTAAAGGAGTGCTAGGAATAAGGGGCGAATTCCCAGAAAACTCGGAGGGCCTGGGTCAACCAGCCCTTCAGACGCAGCTCTAGTGTCCCTCTGTGGGTAAGCATCTGTAGTCCAGGCATAACAAGGCGTCCACAAGTGCATTGTGGGTGTTCCATGGAAGAGCGTTTTGTGTTCAAGCCGTACGATCCATCCCTGAACTCAGCAAAGAAAGGAAGAAATGCCATGATGATAAAAATCAAGAGACATGAAGGGACCGCGGCCCCTCTTTAAAGGATCTATCAAACTAAGTCAGCTGGGCAGAGAAAAAATATGATGCTAACAACATAAGGCAACTGACCTCAGTACAACTGGAGGGGTGATTATATCAGAGAAACATGAGGTGCTAAACTGGAAAGCTCAACACTGCACGGTATTATCTGTTTTCCGTTCAGCCTCAGTGAGAAGCCACGAAGGCATGAGAAGATTTTCTATTAAAAGTTCATTTTCTCTCAATCCATCTTCTGCTCTATAAATAAAAAGATGCATCTCATTCTCTCCTCTTGCGCCTCTCTTATTTCTTGTTTGAGTGTAAAATGCTGAGCTGAGTTGTGCCAGAGTGAGCGGTTGGCTGTTTATGCATTTTACGTATAATACACTACATGAAACACTGACTGAAAATAAAGAGAGGAAGAAAATAAAAACACAAAGAGATCAACCCTGCCCCCGAATGTGTGTACATGCTCTAGGTCTGTGTTTGGATATAAACATTTATTTTAATGTGTGTATAGTATAACTGCATTGTGTTTTTTCCAGTTGATAAGTCAGTAAAGGTGTGCTATTTTGGTGCCTGTCTCTATATCCAAGTGTGTGTGTGTGTGCGTGTATGTGTGTGTGCGTGTATGTGTGTGTGTCTCTACTCTGTTAGCTGGTGACGTAGTGCTTTGTAGAGGGCTGCCCATACAGCCCGTAGAAATCTGCATGTCTGTGTGTCTGTGAGGCGTCTATCCAGTCCCTCACTGCCAAGCCCTGCATGGACGGACCTCCAGAGGCCAGACCGGGGGGAGGGGGGTAGTCTTGGGCGCTGACCCAGGGGAAGGAGCCCGAGCGTGGGTACGGGGGATGGCTGCGGTGGCCCGACACCGAGGGCACTCCGGAGCAGTAGCAGTTATCCATCGTACACACCAGGATCTTCCGGCCGCCGTATTGAGGCAGCACGGCCTGCTGGGAGGAGTGCGAGGAGCTGCTGCCTCCAGGAGCAAAGTGCGAGGAGCTGAACACGGAGCCTGAATGATGGTTAGTCAGCGAGCCGCTTCCGCTTCCTGTCCCGCCGCTCTCGCTGATGTGAGGCGGGCCGCAGGGGCCTAGCGGCTGCTGATTGGTGGACTGGCCTTCTCCGGAGGCCGAGCCAGAGCCCAGGTAGGGCTGCTTAGCTAAAGATGAGGAAGAAGATGACGAAGAGGAGGAGGAGTCCTTGAAACCTGGAGCGGCGGTTTTTCCGACGCTCCCGTTTCCCTCTGGAAAGGCAGTGGAATGTTTCCGTTTCTCTGCTCCAGAGCCAGAGCTCTGACCGCTGGGATACGCAGGAACAGACTGCAGGAAGGTCGAGGGAGGGGTGAGGGGAGCTGAGAAAGACAAGGTGTGAAATAAGAGGCGGTAAGTGGTGATTAAAATAAAAACACATTCATGACTGTCATGCCCTGCTTTCAAACCTATTAAGTGTGTTTGAGATCCTTACCTTCCAGCGTTCTCTTCAAGCTCTTCTCTCTTTTTGAGATTTCGGAAAGGAATAGTTTAGAATTTAGATTCCCGACTTTGTAAGGAGGGAGACTGCTGCCCACACATGCCTGAGACCTGTAGCAAGTGCCAAGAGACATGCAAAATACAAGATAAGATGTCTGCCTTGAAACGTCACCTGCATATCACAGAACCTCAGACAAAGAAGTACAACGTCCATTTTAAGAATCCAGCAACAACAACTTGTCTCTCACCTGTCTGTGAGGATTTTAACAGGTTTTGTGTTTTTCATGAAGCTCAGTTCCTCTGCCTTACTGAAGGCCGTGTGGATGGAGCTCAGCAGCTTCTGAGCCTCGTGGCGCTGCTCTCCCAGAGCCAAAACCTGGGCAGCGTTATCCTGGCAGAACCGAGCCTGAGCCCGGTCCAGAGCCTCCAGTGTCCGACCGAGATCCTCCTCCAGGAGCTGGTGCATCCGCTGGTACTGCAGGCGCACCTCCTCTTTCAGCTCACACACCCTGTCCTGTAGGGAAACAAAACACGGACACACACACACCAATCCACTCAAAATTGATCTTGCCTTATGTAACACCGTGTAGAACCTCTGAAAATGTGTGTAGATGCATTTACGCCCACAGAGCGCGCCGCAAAAAAAACATACCTCCACCACACACTTGTCAGAGTCAAGTTTGCAGAGCTGTTCTTCGATCTCCTGCACTCGTTCCTCCACGCGCTCCTGCTGTCTCAACAGGCTTTGCTGTGAGGTGAGAAACAGAAAGAGAGAAACTCTTTAGCTTTGTGAAGTTGTGACCTCTGTTAGCCACAAGCATCCCCTCCCCATGCCTGAGGTCTTAGGATCCGGGAGCTGGCTAATTTAGTCTCCATCCAACACACAATCCCCCGCGGGGGAGGAGGGAGGGGGATGCTGTCATAGCAACCAACAGCTATTTTGTGTTTTTAGTGAGTGAGGACTAATGTGGGGGGAGCTGGGGGCAGTGAGCAGAGATAGATAAATGGGCATGCAGAGGCAGAAAAAGCTCCAGCAGCTCTGCTCTCTCTGCTCCCCCCTCAGTGCACCTCCTCTCCTCTGTCCTACACTTCATTTCTAAAAGATGCACATGTATTCACAGAGTCGAGGCTGCTCTGTGAGCTATGGCAATGTTGTGGCAACAACACTTGTTATTTTTGGGATGATGATGGCATGTGAACATTAGCAAATGCTGTTCGGGCCAAACGGAGATGCCCATCCGGCTGCAGCTGGTGGCCAAGATAAATAAAAAACAAAACAATCCTTTATGTCGCTCCCTGCGTTGTGTAAGTCTGATAGCAGGAATGTCATTGACACAGATTTGCTAATCCTTCATGTGATTAATATTTAATGTGAGATATGAGCAATGCTAGCTTGACATTTAATGACAGAGAAACATACTGATTAGATGGTACAGAGCAAAATAATGTGATACAGATTTTAATAAACAACACCAAGAGTCTACAGCCATGGTAGAAGCTTTATGAGCCTGCACTTAGTCACAGCAATGCCTTGAGCTAAATGCTAACATTAGCGTGCTAACATACTCACAGTGACTATGCTGAGGCCAAGCAGGTGGAAACTTTTCCATGTTCACCATTTTGCAGTGTAGTGTGTTTGCATGCTAACATTTGCTAATTAGCACAAAAAATTAGCTCCAAAGTAAAGCTCAGGCTGACGGCAATGTCAGTACGTGTGCAGGTAGTTGGTCGTAAATCTAATTAGGGCTGCAATGAATTATTCATTCATTAATGATAAATCTGACAATTAATTTCTCTTTAATTATTAGTTTAGTCTAAAAGATGTCAAAAAATGTTTCACGGTTTTTCTTGTGAAATGCCTGAAACGATTATTGAAATATTTGCAGATTAATTTCATTTAGATACGTTAACTGATTAGTTAATTGATCAGTAATGATTACTGCCTTTCTGAAGCAAAGTATTGGACAAAGTATACTTCTGATTTGATGATGGCTCTAGATGAAAAATGAAGTGATTTCATGGCGATTAATCCAACAGACTGAGACATTTTAAAACATTCAAAAACAAAAATGTAAACCTCGAGGGATGTGCTGGATGAAAAGTCAAGGGAAGACCAGAGTCAGTGGGATTCATCCTCTGGGGAGCATGAATGTCTGCACAACATTGTGTGCCAATCCATCAAAGAGTCGTTGAGATATTTCACTTTGGACCAACACAGTGGAATGAGCAAACCAACAGCTGCTGGCGTGGCTTAAAAAACTGAATCTGCCATTAATCCCACAAGTCAATAATCAGTTGTTTTTCACAGGCTGGAAGCCTGTTCGCATACCATCATCACCGTCATCATCATCACAATCCAATCATTCCAACCAAACAGCAGCTGATTTTATCATTAGTTCCCAGTGTGATCAGCTGCTGTAGAGCTTGATAGGAATGAAAACCTGCATACTCCTGGGCCCCAGCAGAGGCACATGGTTGGGAACCACTGCCCTAGATATCTCTCTCTCACACACACACACACACACACACACACACACAGACACACACACACACACACACAGACACACACACACACACACACACACACACACACACACACACGGCATGGTTAGATCCAGGACTGTGACCTGGTTGTGCTGATTGATTGAGTTAGGCTCCGAGCAGAAGCCAGGGGAAAAACAGGGTCGAAGGAACTGAAGCTTCCCAGAGGGGGGAGCAACTGAATGTATGGGATACCTTTGGGGAGGGAGGGAGATGGGGGTATAAAGAGGGGAGGGCGCTCTTTAGCTGTCATTTCACTACAGTGTCTTTTCCATCAGAAGCACCAGAGCAGGAGAGCAGGGCCAGAGGGAAGGTCGGTCCTTGCCTGGGGTAGCTGGTGGATGGTGTGAGGAGTGAGGTGAAATTGGTGGGGGCTGACGGAAGTGAAGAGCAGAGCAGTGGCTGGAGGATGGTGTGTGTGGAGGTGGGGGTCCACTCTACATTCCTTTATCACATCCAACATGGAGGATGCATTAGTAGTCATCACTACCATGAGGACTAATACCTAGAACAAATTAATGGATTGGGTTGATGTGACTTAAATCAATGTCACTGTGCAATAAGATTATTTTTCTGATATCAAAACACACAGCTCCCCAGGGAAAGTGTCGTCAGTTTAGTTAGTAAACGATCACCTCACAACAGCCGCTCATCAATCAACTCATATGGTTTACTGATCTTTTTTAATTCATTAAACTGTACTTATTTTTATGCTGGTCGTGAATGTTATAGCCCGACTGATGGTGGATATCTGAGGCTGATAATGATGTGGACATTTGGGAATTTTAAAAAATTGGATATCGATATATAGGCTATATAATAATATAATATTTTTAACATTAACACATAACATTCACAAACAATCCTTAGATTTTTTTTTTAACATTATGACCAAGACAAATTTTATCATTGAAAATAAACTCAGTTTTCTCTGATGGATTAACTATGTAATTGTGACATGGTGATAACATTTCTAAATTACCTCAAACCTGCAATTTACTCTTACTTATCTGTGACATATACACAAATAATGGATGTGGACGAGGTGGCTGTAAAACAAGCACTATATCACATTGTGGCAAATGGAAGGAAAGATTTTAAATGATCAAAGTGAAATGCAAGGAACTGTGTTTCACACTTGGCTGTTTCAATAATGAAGTTAATTGTGAGTTGCACCCCTTCCTGTTATATCAGAGAAAACTTACTTCCAACAAAACAAAACCAAAAAACATTCCTCAGAAGCATTGATTTGGACGGCTGAATTTAGTCATCAAGAAACAATTTCCATTGAAAGTCCATAAGAGATGGTAATCACTTGAGCCCGACCGACAGATCAGCACTGCCAACATTTTTGCCTTATATACCAGTATCTGCATATAATTATTATTACCAAAGGTTGTTTTAAAAACAAAACTCAACAAACAATTAGTTGATTGATCAATAGCTCAATCCAAAAAATTAATTTTCAACTATTTTGATAATCATTTTAGTCATTTTTTTAAGTCAAAAATGTCAACATTTGCTGATACCAGCTTCACACGTCAGGATTTTATGCTTTTCTTTGGACTTTCGGACTGTTGGCCGTCACCTTGGGCTGTGGGAAGTTACACTAAGCATTTTTCCCCTCTTTTCTGACATTTATTTGATTAGTCAAGGAAATAATAATCAGATTAATTGATGATAAAAGAATGACGTACATCAGTTTTCTTGGACTTCTCTGTGGGTCTGTGCTGTATTTTCTTGTCACTTACTGGCTGAGATTTATCTGTGGTGAGCTAATATCAGCTGATATATCGACCCTGCCCTAGTTGCCATAACATAGTTTGTTTATTTTTCAACTGTAAAATGTCCCACTCAACATGTTGGTCGCACAGTCTGTTATATCAAAATTTAAAAGATCTTTTTCTTTCGTGTTTATGCCAAAAAATGAATATTTTCTGATTTCACATGAGATTTTTCTTTTTAGAGATTATTACTGATAGCTGCATCAGGGTCAAAAATCCAGAATTAATCAGGCTCGACTTATTGCCCAGCCCGATTATGGATAATGATGTAAAAGCTGTAGATGTGAAGGATTTTGATAATGCAGCTTTTAAATTCAGACCAGGTCCCACCCAACCCTTCCTATGCCCCAGGTGACCGATTAACTATACATAAAGCTGAGTCATAGCATTACCAACAGGAAACGCACCCTTCCACGACACAGTTGACACCTAAACAGGGTGTTGGGTGGACTGCATGAGTCAGTCAGCAGTAAAGCCTTCACTTTCCTCTCTCTGACTAAACTCGAAATGATGACTGCGAGCACCAAACCCCAAGTAAGAGAAGAGGTTAATAAAAAAATAAAAAAAACCCAAGTAGACCGCAGAATCAAGTGACGAATCACTTTAATCCCCCTTCCCCTCGACTCCACTCCCCACCCCCCCTTCACAACTGGCGATCCCTGAGCTAGGATGCACCTGTGCTGGGGAGATAAGGCCCTCTGAGGGCCCCTCATTGTTCCACCCTCGACTGCATTGTTTGTCATTCCAACAGATGAGAACGGAGGCTGGAGTGGATCACAACTGAAAAATGCACAAGATAGACTCTAACACAGCCTCTAAAAACACTCAAAATGCAATTGTTTCTTAAAATGGGGGATTCTGTTGTTGACTGAGTAAAGTGATTAAGCAAATACATAAACGACTGAGAAAAGGTCCTGAAAGCTCTGTACTCAAAAAATCTCCACTTTGTGTCTTTAATGTGGCAAAGAATGACATTAAAATATGTCCTTTGTTCTGGTGACGTTTGCTTGACGACTACAAAGTGGCTGAAAAATTACCTCACTGGCTTGTGTGACGCTGTTGTGAATGCACAGAGCTACATTTTGGTACCTTATTGATCACAAATTCTTGCAAATAGGGATGGGAGTAATGACTATTTCCATTATTGATTAAATTACTGATTATGTTCCGACTGATCAATTAATGGTTTAGTCTATAAAATGTCAGTAAACAGAAGAAAAATCTGTCACAGTTTCCTGGGGCCCAAGGTGAAGTCTCTAAATGTCCTGTTTAGTTTGATAAACGGTCAAAAACCCAAACATATTCAGTTTAATATCATAGAGGATGAAGAAAGAGAGGAAATATTCACATCTGAGAAGCTGGAACCAGAGAAGTTTTGATATTTTTGCTTTAAAAAAAACAGATAATTTAGTAATCGACTATGGTTTCAGCTCTATTGGAAGATCTCCGACATCCACTGGCTGTCTCTCCCCCTTTGTGAGAGTATGGCCACTATGCCTTGAGCAGAAACAAGAGGTGCATGAACAAGTATATTTGTGTTTAATTTATGTGCACAAGATTTAATTGTTCTTACTCGAATGTCGTTGCGTCTCAGCTCCACATCAGTGACCGCGTGGCCGTGGCTGGGGTGGCAGCGGGCGAAGCAGCAGTACTGACACACCGCTGTCTGCTCGGCCTCACAGTGATACAGCCTGTACTCGTCATGCTGCGGGCAGGTCCAGGCCTTCACCGCCTCCGCCTCTACCAACAGGTGCCCCAGGGCTGAGCACGGCTGCTGCAGGTGTGTCTGAACGTGGGACTGGCAGCATGGGGCGTTGCAGCGCAGGCAGACTTTCACTGCGGGGAGTGGTGGGCCTCGGCGGCAGAGGATGCACTGCAGCGCCGGCGTGGTAGCCTTCTCCACACTCAGGGCGTTGTACTTCTCGACTATGTTGGAGAGTTTGTGGTTCTTCTCCAGGCTGGGCTTCTGCGTGTAAGCATGATTGCACTCAGGGCAGCGGGCCAGCGAGGAGTCTTTGGCCCAGGCCTCGCTGATGCAGCCCCGGCAGAAGTTGTGCTTGCAGGGCAGCTGGATGGGATCTGAGAACACGTGCAGGCAGATGGGGCAGATGAGCTCCTCCTCAAAACAGTTCCTCCACGTCTCAGCCATGTCAGAGGCCATCATGGTGCAGGCAGGCATACACTAACTGTTCTCCACTTCTTCCAGACCTCTAGGCCTCACAGGAAACCTGACACTCTCAAAGTGAGTCTTGAGAAAAAGATAAAAACAGACTCGATGCCGTCCTGAAAGATCAGACTGTATATTTCAACCCTTGTGACCAAATTAGACGAGTCTCCCTGACAGATGACGAGTATTGCTTATTGCTGCAGCATGAAGGCAAATTCCAGAAAATTGACCAGAGAAGGCTTCAGGCAAGGATGACAACACCTTGGGTGTTTTCAACACACACACAGCAGGGGCTGACGTTATACAGATTACAGTAAACGGTGCTTTAATTTCCTCTAAATCGTACACACACACACACACACACAGGGCCTGCCTTTACAGCTTCTGTGTGTTTATAGGCCTACAGGAAGCCTGTCAGCTACAGGTAAACCATCAAATGCAAACAAGGCACAGAGAACTAAATATCTACACAATTACTTAACATGATCATGAGGTGAATCAATCTCTGCATGAAAAGACACTTGATCATTTTCTGCTGCCTGCTCAGGCCCTTACCTTGAGAGCTTGCTTCACTTCAACGTCGGATTATGACTGACTGTGGACCAATTCAGACCAACAAACGAAGCATGAAAAGCATGAGAAAGGACTGCTCGAGTCCACACCCTGATTACTATCCACACACAAACACACACACACACATACACACACGGAGCTTTTTTTTTGTTTGTTTTAAAGAAAAAAACCTGAATCTGTTTTTATCAGGACCTCAAGGACGCCTGATTCTCTGAATAATCACAACGCAGCGCAATGCTTTTGTCCGCTGAATCATAAATAAGTATCCGAGGAGCCTCCACCAGCAATTTAATAATACATACAAGACAAGAAAGACTGTCTCACAGGTCAGATCAACAACACGGGCACCTCCAGCCCTTCAATCTGACATAACAGCGACATTTCTGTTTGATGAATAACGCCTGCTATGTGGCACAGCTCGCATATCTGTACACAAGGCCTCGGCTTTTCTTTTCTACCAGTTTTCTGTCGACAACAAAGGCTTTATAATCTCATTAAACAGAAAATCATACCCGGGCCATCATTTCCAGGCTGTTTACTGCATAGTTAATCGTTTTAATAGTCGAGTCCGGCTCCTGCGCACAAAACAAAGGGTTTTAGGATCCGCAGGAATGTTGGCTGCTGTTGCAGAGCCTTTTGGTTTCCCCCCTCCGACACATCTATCAAATATCTTTAGTATTTTTACTCAGCTCTGGCCTCTCTTTTTTTTTTTACTTCGGTCTCCACCGTATTCACCTATTGTCGCCTCAGCCTTTAGCCAACAACATATTTATCTACTTCCTTATCTCGATTAAATCGTGTAAATTACCTCAGACGTCACCTCACCATTTTCTACCACAGCACAGGTACAGATAAACACTAGATTGGCACCGTTTCCCGACAAGGACGGTCGTTGCTAATGAAGGCTACAGTCATTATTTTTAAAAGCAGCCATATTTGTAAATTTAACTGATAAAAAATACAAAAATACACCCTGCTAATCTTAAAGGGGACGTCGCTTTTCTGTCCTTGTTAGGGCTAGCTGTCATCAGCCATCTTGTAAATCCTCATTAAAAAAAAGAGGAGATATCCGCCGTGGAAAGGCTGTAGGCTGTTTCACCAAAGCTGCTTTTCGATAGCTGACCTACACAGGAACATCAATGCAAAGTCCCGTCATTATGAAAGAAAAACACGCCTTTTTAATCGGTGTTATAGGTCCAAAGCAGCAGTCTTGACGTGGTTATTTTTTCGTGGCCTGATCTGGTCGGTGCGTCCGGTGCGAGTCGACTCCGTGGTTCATAAAAATCCAACACGGTTGTGAATAATAATTTGTGTTTTCTCCCCCCTCCTCCTTTCTTTCTCTGTCTCTATCGGTCAGGCTTTGGAGAGAGGAGGAATGCAGGCGAGCTGGACTGGTCTCCAAACCAGAGTCAAGAAAGACAGTACAATACAGGACATCCGGTTACGGTTTTCAAAATAAAATACCGTGCTTGAACGCACATACAGTGGTCATAGACAGACAGATAGATAGTAGTGTTGAGAGAAGCACTCGGATCTTTTAGTAAAGTAAAAGTATCTATATCACATTGTAAAAATACTCAGTTATAAGGGCGAGTGTCATAGTGAAGGGACTAGTAGCACTGAAGGCCCAGTGCTCTGTGTGGTCGTTTTGTCATTTTGTGGATGTTTTTGTATATCTTTATGGTGGTTTTGTGTCTGTTTGTGGTTGTTTTTTGTCTCTTTGTTATCATTTTACTGTCTTTTAGCCTTGTGACTGTCAAACATGAATTGCTAACGATCACATCATACAGAGGCTCAGGTCCAGACTGGGCCTGCGCCTTGTAGGCCTGTTCGGTAATTCTTCCATGCCAACATGTTGAGAGCCATCAAAAAGCCTGGAATTAAATATGTGTTTTTATCTGCAATATTGAAAATTACTTTATTATAGGTATTATAAGTAAACTATTACTGCTGGGTGACTAAATGGTTTGACATATACGTAATAGTATGTAACTATAAACAATATTAGAGGCTCTCATATATATTACTGTGGATGTCAGACAGACTGGACTCATAAAGTGGATCGGTTACTTAAGGTCATTTTAAACTGTATTAGTGGCAGATATTTGCAGCACTAAGGATGTTTTATGGACATAAGTATTATACAAATTTTAGATGGTTGTATTGTACAATGTTTCTCATTAAATACTCTTTAAAAAATGATAAGTTTACTCACAAAGTTTTACTATTGTGTTCACAAACATTACTGATGGAAATAAATCCTCAGGAAGTCAGAAAAGTTTAATAACTCAGACTCAGAGTCATTATGTAATATTACTCCTAATATTTGACAAGTCGATCAATTTGAGGGTGATAGCAGGTTTTAATCTTGTTTTTTAATGCTCCTTTTTTATACATATGGATTGTGACCTCAAGTTTTTTAAAGCTTTATGGAAGGAAATAATGTTGTATAACTTCACAGTGAAAGTTTCACTTTGTAATCAGAGTATTTTGAGAAAAGAGGCTGAAATATGCAGAGTGAAATGCTTTATGAACACTGCAGTACTGCTGACATTAATAACGACAACAGATGCATGTGTTTTGATTCAGTTATTTGTGCAGACAATGGATATATTAAAAGCAGAAGGCGGCCCACTGAAGCTTTTCAAGGAACAGTGCTGAGACTTTTAAGACTGAAACAAAGAGCTAAACAAGGAAGAACAAAAATAATATGGAGTTGGTTAATGACTCACTGTCAGTGCAGTCATATAATCTTCCTTTACAAGTTATTTCATACAAACCTGTTAATTAATGCAGGTTTAAGGATTTTGGAGAGGTCTAAAGTAATAAGACTTCCTGCTGGGTTTTTCAAATTTGTTCTTTTTACTTTGTAGGAAAACAGTGGTTTATATCTGTGACTCAAATATAATCCTTCATGAAAACTAACATCTTAAATATAAAAGACAATGAGTCCAATGATTGAGAAACAAACTAGGGACAAAGCTGAGCACCTTTTTTTTTTCTTTTGTTCTGAGCTTTATTTTGAAGCTTATGCGGAGAGTTTCCTGCATGATTCAGGCTGTCTCCGGCTGACCTGACGCAGTTTCTCGGCAACATCAGCCGCCCCCTCCTCCTCCTTCCCCTCCTCCCCCTCCTCCTCCTCCTCCTCTTCCTCACTCCCTCCCTCCCTCCCTCTCCTTCCTCCCTCCCCTCCCTCCTTCCGGATCAACGCTACGGCCGTCACGTGACCTGTCACACAACTGATGTGTGTCACGTTTTAACCGGGAGGAGCTGAGGGATGAACCGGGGAGGAAGGGCAGGGATTCATACTTAAAGGGCTTACTGCATCTGTTAATGGCCTGGGCGCTCATCATGTTCCTCTGGGACAACACTGCATGTGTGTATGTGTGTATGTGTGTGTGTGTGTGTGTGTGTGTGTGTGTGTGTGTGTGTGTGCGCGTGCGTGCGCGCGCGCGCGTGTGTAGTCCATGTTGGTGTTGCAAGAAATATAACTGTAATAATCCTGTAATGTTCCCTCTGACTTTAAAGGAGCAGTCCGTAGACATGGGTCTAGAGTTCATTAAAACTAGCAGGGATTGGGGTCACTTAATGGTCACAACAGTTAATAACGTGATACAGGGAAACAAGCTGGAAAAGAAATTAGGTGCGTTATGAAATCTTGAATAGCAAAATGACATCACATACCCGCAGTGGTGGAGGGCGTATTCAGATCCTTTCTAACCCTAACCTTTTAAGAGTAGTGATACCACATCACGAAAATACTCTGTTACAGGTAAATCCTGCATTCAGAATTGCCTAAGTAAAAGTACAGAAGTATTATCAACAAAATGTACTTTAAGTGTCAAAAATAAAAGCACTGGAGCTAAAAACGAAGTAGATTATTCACATTTGTTTACACATTATTCACACACATTTATCAGCAAGCTACCTATTATATTAGCTAACTAGCCATGTTACATAAAATATGTTACATAAAATATTAAAACAATGAGAAACAGCTTCCAAGCAGAAACTCTATCTATCTATCTGGATAAAAAAAATCAACTGTGAAACCATTCATTCAGCCAACAGTACTAATTGCTTATCATCGTAAGAGCCCTCCTCCATTGCTGGGGCCCTGGCAATTTCTACTACCGGTCATGAGGTCTTGCAGCTGCATAAATCTCGTGAAGTTCTCGCTGCGTACGTTTGCATGACGTCAGAGATCCCTACGAAACGACACACATGGCGATATAGAGTAAATGGCGCATTTGATTTCATTGCTTTTCTACACGGTAAGGAAGCTCCGCATGAAGCAGAGCATCAAAAAATTAGGTAAAACTCTTAGTGTTCCTCTCCACGGAAATCTTTAGTAAAAGGCGAAAGATTTATACGATCTGAAGAGAAACAAGAGTGTACTGAACTTCAAGACAATCACACATCGAACTGATTGACGACCACACCGTTTTAAGTCCTGGTTCATGCAGAAACAGTTACATAAAAATATATGCCACGTGATGTGTAAATAAAGAAACACACAAAGAAACTAGTAATGTGGCGTTCTAATGTAAAAACCTTACGTTTATTTAGCATGGGTTAACCTTTCAGGCTATGGCGCAAAGCATGATGGGATTGGGTTTTTACATTTTTTTGTAAATTGTCTCCATGATAACGTGAATTCTAATAATCCCTATATTGAGGCGCACTACTGCACTGTCAAATGTATTATTTCCCACAGAGTTAATGTCCCCGCTATAAAATAAATCATGTATTAAACTTAGGAAATATCCGCCCCCTTCTCTCTCCC